TAAAGCCAGACAGAATTCGGAAATTTTTGGAAGAGGGATTTTTTCCCGAACATTTTTGCTAAAGGACGATTAAAAAAAAAGCCAGACAGAATTCGGAAATTTTTGGAAGAGGGATTTTTCCTGAACATGTTTGCTGTAGGACGATTCCCAGTAAAGCCAGACAGAATTTGGAAAGTTTTTGGAAGAGGATTTTCCCGAACATGAAGGACGATTTAAAGCCAGCTGAAAGGACGATTCCCAGTAAAGCCAGACAGAATTTGGAAAGATTTTTTGGAAGAGGATTTTTTCCCGAACATGTTTGCTGTAGGACGATTCCCAGTAAAGCCAGACAGAATTCGGAAATTTTGGAAGAGGATTTTTGAACATGTTAGCTGGGACGATTCCCAGTAAAGCCAGACAGAATTCGGAAAGTTTTTGGAAGAGAGGATTTTCCCGAACATGTTTGCTGTAGGACGATTCCCAGTAAAGCCAGACAGAATTCGGAAAGTTTTTGGAAGAGGGATTTTTTGAACATGTTTGCTGTAGGACGATTCCCAGTAAAGCCAGACAGAATTCGGAAAATTTTTGGAAGAGGATTTTTCCCGAACATGTTTGCTAAGGACGATTCAGTAAAGCCAGACAGAATTCGGAAAGTTTTTGGAAGAGGGATTTTCCCGAACATGTTTGATAGGACGATTCCCAGTAAAGCCAGACAGAATTTGGAAATTTTTGGAAGAGGGATTTTTCCGAACATGTTTGCTGTAGGACGAAGTAAAGCCAGACAGAATTCGGAAAGTTTTTGGAAGAGGATTTTTCCCGAACATGTTTGCTGTAGGACGATTCCCAGTAAAGCCAGACAGAATTCGGAAAGTTTTGGAAGAGGGATTTTTCCCGAACATGTTTGCTGTAGGACGATTCCCAGTAAAAGCCAGACAGAATTCGGAAAGTTTTTGGAAAGGGAATTTTTTCCCGAACATGTTTGCTGTAGGACGATTCCCAGTAAAGCCAGACAGAATTGGAAGAGGGGAAATGTTTTGGAAGAGGATTTTTCCCGAACATGTTTGCTTAGGACGATTCCCAGTAAAGCCAGACAGAATTCGGAAATTTTTGGAAGAGGGATTTTTCCCGAACATGTTTGCTGTAGGACGATTCCAGTAAAGCCAGACAGAATTGGAAATTTTTGAAGAGGATTTTTCCGAACATGTTTGCTGTAGGATGTTCGGAAAGTTTTTGGAAGAGGGATTTTCCCGAACATGTGTGTAGGACGATTCCCAGTAAAAGCCAGACAGAATTCGGAAATTTTTGGAAGAGGGATTTTTCCCGAACATGTTTGCTGTAGGACGATTCCCAGTAAAGCCAGACAGAATTCGGAAAGTTTTTGGAAGAGGGATTTTTCCCGAACATGTTTGCTGTAGGACGATTCCCAGTAAAGCCAGACAAGAGTTTTTCGGAAAGAGGACGATTTTGGAAGAGGAAATTTTTTTTCCCGAACATGTTTGCTGTAGGACGATTTCCAGTAAAGCCAGACAGAATTCGGAAAGTTTTTGGAAGAGGGATTTTTCCTGAACATGTTTGCTGTAGGACGATTCCCAGTAAAGCCAGACAGAATTCGGAAAGTTTTTGGAAGAGGGATTTTCCCGAACATGTTTGCTGTAGGACGAAGTAAAAGCCAGACAGAATTTGGAAAGTTTTGGAAGAGGATTTTCCTGAACATGTTTGCTGTAGGACGATTCAGAGTAAAGCCAGACAGAAGGAAAGTTTTTGGAAGAGGGATTTTTCCCGAACATGTTTTAGGACGATTGTAGGAAAAATTCGGAATTTTTTTGGAAAGGATTTTCCCAGACAGAATTTGGAAATTTTTGGAAGAGGGATTTTTCCTGAACATGTTTTGGTGGGACGAATTCAGTTTTAAAGGGATTTTCCCGAACAGACAGAATCCGAGTAAAGCCAGGAAAGTTTTTGGAAGAGGGATTTTTTGAAGGACGATTCCCAGAACACAGTTTGGAATTTTTGTAGGACGATTCCCATGTAAAGCCAGACAGAATTCGGAAAGTTTTTGGAAGAGGGATTTTTCCCGAACATGTTTGCTGTAGGACGATTCCCAGTAAAGCCAGACAGAATTCGGAAAGTTTTTGGAAGAGGGATTTTTCCCGAACATGTTTGCTGTAGGACGATCAAAAAGCCAGACAGAATTCTGTAAAAGGAAATTTTTGGAAGAGGGATTTTTCCCGAACATGTTTGCTGTAGGACGATTCCCAGTAAAGCCAGACAGAATTCGGAAAGTTTTTGGAAGAGGGATTTTTCCCGAACATGTTTGCTGTAGGACGATTCCCAGTAAAGCCAGACAGAATTCGGAAAGTTTTTTGGAAGAGGGAACATGTTTTTAGGACGATTCCAGTAAAGCCAGACAGTTTGCTGGAGGAGGATTTTTCCGAACATGTTTGCTAAGGACGATTCCAGACAGAATTCGGAAAGTTTTTGGAAGAGGGATTTTTCCCGAACATGTTTGCTGTAGGACGATTCCCAGTAAAGCCAGACAGAATTCGGAAGTTTTTGGAAGAGGGATTTTTCCCGAACATGTTTGCTGTAGGACGATTCCCAGTAAAGCCAGACAGAATTTTCGGAAAAGTTTTTGGAAGAGGGATTTTTCCCGAACATGTTTTGTGAAGGACGATTCCGAGTAAAGCAGACAGACAGAATTTGGAAAGTTTTTGGAAGAGGGATTTTTCCCGAACATGTTTGATTTTTGTAGGACGATTCCCAGTAAAGCCAGACAGAATTTGGAAAGTTTTTGGAAGAGGGATTTTTCCCGAACATGTTTGCTGTAGGACGATTCCCAGTAAAGCCAGACAGAATTGGAAAGTTTTTGGAAGAGGATTTTTCCCGAACATGTTTGCTGTAGGACGATTATACAAAAAGCCAGACAGAATTCGGAAATTTTTTGAAGAGGGATTTTTTCCTGAACATGTTTGCTGTAGGACGATTCCCAGTAAAGCCAGACAGAATTTGGAAAGTTTTGGAAGAGGATTTTCCGAACATGTTTGCTTAGGACGATTCCCAGTAAAGCCAGACAGAATTCGGAAAGTTTTGGAAGAGGGATTTTTCCCGAACATGTTTGCTGAAGGACGATTCCCAGTAAAGCCAGACAGAATTTGGAAAATTTTTTTGGAAGAGGGATGTTTTAGGACCGAACATTTTGGAAGAGGATTTTTTGAACATGTTTTTGTAGGACATTCCCAGTAAAGCCAGACAGAATTCGGAAAGTTTTTTGGAAGAGGATTTTTCCCGAACATGTTTAAGGACGATTCCCAGTAAAGCCAGACAGAATTCGGAAAGTTTTTGGAAGAGGGATTTTCCCGAACATGTTTGCTGTAGGACGATTCCAGTAAAGCCAGACAGAATTCGGAAATTTTGGAAGAGGGATTTTCCCGAACATGTTTGCTTAGGACGATTCCAGTAAAGCCAGACAGAATTCGGAAAGTTTTTGGAAGAGGATTTTTCGAACATGTTTGCTGTAGGACGATTAGTAAAGCCAGACAGAACGGAAATTTTTGGAAGAATTTTCCCGGAAATGGCCAGACAGAATTTTTTGGAAGAGGATTTTCCAAACGTAAGGACGATTCTAGCCAGACAGAATTCGGAAAGTTTTGAAGAGGATTTTTCCCGAACATGTTTGCTGTAGGACGATTGTAAAGCCAGACAGAATTCGAAATTTTTGGAAGAGGGGATTTTTCCTGAAAACATGTTTGCTGTAGGACGATTCCCAGTAAAGCCAGACAGAATTTTTTTGGAAGAGGGATTTTCCCGAACATGTTCTGTAGGACGATTCTTAAAGCCAGACAGAATTTGGAAAGGATTTTTTGAACATGAAAGGATTTTAACATGATTTTGAACATGTTTGTAGGACGATTCCCAGTAAAGCCAGACAGAACGGAAAAATGGGATTTTTCCAAACTGTAGGACGATTCAGTAAACCAGACAGAATTCGGAAAGTTTTTGGATTTTTCCCGAACATGTTTGCTGAAGGACGATTCAGTAAACCAGACTTTGGAAAAGGGATTTTCCCGAACTAGGATTTTAGTAAAGCCAGACAGAATTCGGAAAGTTTTGGAAGAGGGATTTTTCCTGAACATGTTTGCTGTAGGACGATTCCACAGTAAAGCCAGACAGAATTCGGAAAGTTTTTGGAAGAGGATTTTCCCGAACATGTTTGCTGTAGGACGATTAACCAGACAGAATTCGGAAATTTTTATTTTTCCCGAACATGTTTGCTAAGGACGATTCAAAAATGGCAGACAGACAAATTCGGAAAGTTTTTGGAAGAGTTTTTTTCCCGAACATGTTTGCTGTAGGACGATTCCCAGTAAAGCCAGACAGAATTCGGAAAGTTTTTGGAAGAGGGATTTTTCCGAACATGTTAGGACGATTTAAAGCCAGACAGAAAAAAAAATTTTTCCGGAAAAACTAGATAGGAGGGATTTTGGATTCCCAGTAAAGCAGGAAATTGGAAATTTTGGAAGAGGGATTTTTTCCCGAACATGTTTGCTGTAGGACGATTCCCAGTAAACAGACAGAATTCGGAAAAATTTTTGGAAGAGGGATTTTTGAACATGTTTGCTGTAGGACGATTCCACTAATAAAGCCAGACAGAATTTGGAAAGTTTTTGAAAGGGATTTTTCCTGAACATGTTTGCTGTAGGACGATTCCCAGTTTGCCAGACAGAATTCGGGAAAGTTTTTGGGAAAGGATTTTTCCCGAACATGTTTGCTTTAGGAAAATAAAGCCAGACAGAATTGGAAATTTTGAATGGAAAGGACGATTCACAGAAAGATCAGACAGAAATGAAGAGGAAATTTTTCCCGAACATGTTTTGCTGTTCAGACAGAATTCGAAAGTTTTGGAAGAGGGATTTTCCTGAACATGTTTTCCAGGACGATTAAAAAGCCAGACAAAAGTTTTTGGAAGAGGGATTTTTCCAAGGACGTAAAGCCAGACAGAATCTACCGCGTGAAGAGGGCTCATGACGAATCCCAGTAAGACGAAGGTTCGACATGTTGACAGAATTTTTGGAAAATTTTTCCCGAACATGTTTGCTGTAGGACGATTTGAGTAAAGCCAGACAGAATTGGAAATTTTTCTTTTTTTGAAATGTTTCTTCGATTGTAAACCTGTTTTTGGAAGGTTTTCCTGTTATCTTCCACTAATTATAAAACACAAAATGGCATTCCAAAAGTAAATTTTTCTAAAAGGACGATTTGTGGCCCAGAAGTTTTTGGAAAGGATTTTCCACCGACAAATGCATTTGCTTAAAAAAAAACAAATAGATTTAGAAAGGATATCCCCGATCTCTGCAATCTTAAGCTTTTCACAGCTAAGGTTAACCGTTATCTTCCACTAATATGCACAAAAATGTTATTTCAAACGTAAAGATCTACCGCGTGTGGCCCACAGACTTTGGAAAGGATTGACGTTGCTTTAATAAAAAACAACTAGATTTTTAAAGGAAATCCCCGATCTCTGGAATTTTAACCTTTTCAAGGTTAAGGTTAACCGTTATCTTCCACTGATATACACAAAAATGGCATTCCAAACGTAAAGATCTACCGCGTGTGGCTCACAGAAATAGGAAAGGATCGACGTCGCTTTAAAAAAACACCACTAGATTTTGAAAGGATATCCCGGATCTCTGCAATCTTCACCTGTTCAAGGCTAAGGTTAACTGTTATCTTCCACTAATATACACAAAATGGCATTCCAAACGTAAAGATCTACCGCGTGTGGCTCACAGAATTGGGAAAGGATCGACGCTGCTTTAAAAAAGAACTAGATTTTGAAAGGAAATCTCCGATCTCTGCAATCTTCACCTGTTTAAGGCTAAGGTTAACCGTTATCTTCCACTAATATACACAAAAATGGCATTCCAAACGTAAAGATCTACCGCGTGTGGCTCACAGAATTTGGAAAGGATCGACCTCGCTTTAAAAAAAAACAACTAGATTTTGAAAGGAAATCCCCGATCTCTACAATCTTAACCTGTTTATGGCTAAGATTAACTGTTATCTTCCACTAATATGCACAAAAATGGCATTTCAAACGTAAATATCTGCCGCGTGTGGCCCACAGAATTTGGAAAGGATCGACCTCGCTTTAAAAATAACAACTAGATTTTGAAAGGAAATTCCCGTTCTCTACAATCTTAACCTTCTCAAGGCTAAGGTTAACCGTTATCTTCCACTAATATACACAAAAATGGCATTTCAAGCGGAAATTTCTACCGCGTGTGGCCCACAGAATTTGAAAAGGATTGAACTTGCTTTAAAAAAAAAAAAAACTAGATTTTGAAAGGAAATCCCCGATCTCTACAATCTTAACCTGTTCAATGCTAAGGTTAACCGTTATCTTCCACCAATATACACAAAAATGGCATTCCAAACGTAAAGATCTACCGCGTGTGGACCACAGAATTTGGAAAGTATCGACCTCGCTTTAAAAAAAAACAACTAGGTTTTGAAAGGAAATCCCCGTTCTCTACAATCTTCACCTGTTCAAGGCTAAGGTTAAACGTTATCTTCCACTACTATACACACACACGGCATTCGAAACGTAAATATCTACCGTGTGTGCCCCCCAGGATTTGGAATGTGTCAACCTCGCTGTAAAAACTATAAAAGCTGCCTATCGTGAATTATATTATTTTAGTTGAAATAACATCCATTTTTCTGATATCACCTACTCATTGGCAAAATATGTCCCAAGTGACTTTTTACCGATTTGCTTAGACATATATATTTATCAAATTTATTTCATGCTGACAAAATTTTGTCTAAGGATAAAGTAATTCTATTTTTTTTTCTTTAACAGATGTTGATCCTGACGAACTCTCTAATGGTAAGCCGAATTATTTTTTATTCTCACTCTCAATCTCTCTTTTTCTAACAGTAACTTTCAATAAAACAATAATTCAAACAAACAATCTTCGCTGAGATCCCCTTATCATCATAAAGTTTTGTACCAATATGTTTTGGGCACACCATATTAAAATTAGATGAAATCAGGAAAATAATCAATATATTTTTATCTTAGATGTTCTCTCTTTTAATTAGACTAAGCCTTTTTTTAATTTAAAAAATGCTACGCTAATTCCCTAAAATTGTTCTTGGTATATAAAAATTAGTCATTTTCCCGTGTGTATGAATGTATGTATATATGTAGGGATGCAGATGAACTCTCATCCCAGTTACAATATGAACCAATTAGCCTCTTTAGTCCACCAAAATCTTTCAATCAATGATTAACAAAAAGTTGTTGATCGCCTGCCCGGTAAAAACATGCTACGCGACAAACAGTATGCACTTCAATCTACTAGGTCCACTGTTGATGTTCGAATTGACATTACTTATAGAATTAGTAAGATACGAGATGTATGTTTTTCAACCTTCTTTATCTAACGGTAAACAGGGGATCTAGAGTCAAATTTCCGCTTAAATTATGATGTTTATAAAAAGTATATTTTATATGATTTATTAAACCAAAAATCAATTTATTATAACCTTTAATGAAAAGATAGAAATTAAAATCCTCAGCCAAACGTATAATTACTTGTCTGTTTATTATAATATAACATTTAATGAGTTATCTGAGTTTGGGGTTCTTGGAGAATATCTTCTTTCAAGTTCGAGTTTCGAAATGGTATACACTTACATCTTCTTCTAAGGATTCTTACATTGGATATTGCTAACGCATCTCGTTTCGTGCGTCTCTCATATATGCAGAGATTTTTGATAAAATCCAAAGAAGAATTTGCAATATTATCGTTCCTGAGCTGGCATCTTTGTTTCAGTCACTTTCCCAATAGCTATAATGTCGCCACTTCTATAAATATATGGATGAGAAATGTTCTTCAGGGCTGAGGAAAGCCCCCTCCCCCTAATTAATTGTTTAGTGAATTTACAAATTGAAGCACAGTACTTAAATTGGCAGCTAAGTCTAATTATTTAAAAGTGCAGACGGCAAAATGTAATCGTAAATCCTACACTAACAGTTCATTTTCTAGCATTTTTCGAATATGGTATTCTATTCTAGATTCTTTCTTTCCATCTTATATAATGTGAATTATTATCTTCTATATTCTTAATTCCTGTTTTTTTTTTTTGTTTGTTTCCTCTCATTAATGTTTTTTTCTTTTTCTCATACTCTTTCATACTCAGTAAACCATTATGTCTTAGTGGCTTTATTGCCTTGTTCGATACAAACGCGATTAAAACAAGGGAATCAATGAATAAATCAGAAGAAAAGTGAAGTGAAATTAGCTTAAATCTAATATCCAAAACAATACAGATAAAAGGAAATGATCCGACATCGACTGACTCACCGACCGACCGACTGACTCACCAACTGACTGACAATATTCAGTCACCCGCCTACGAGGACGTCATGTGGCACAAGGCCGGTTTTTTAACGTGGGATCCCCGAGCCATTGGGCTCGGCAAAAAATATGCCCATTGAACCCGTATAAATTGGTTCAGGGTCGGTTTACCTCCCTGAAAGAGACTCCGCTCTTCTGCGTAGCCTCGTTCGGGTTCCTCCCCGCCCGAATGCAGAGAGCTCACTGGGGCATCATGTGGCAGTAGGCCGGTTATTTCACGTGGGATCTCTGAGCCATTGGGCTCGGCCAAAAATATGCCCATTGAACCCGTATATTGGGGCTCAGGGTCGGTTTACCTTTCCCCGAAAGATACTCCGGCCTTCGGCGTAGCCTTTTTCGGGTTCTTCCCCGCTCGAAGGCAGAGAGTTCAACTGAACAGTCGGTCGAGAAAGCAATCGACTGACTGACGATATTCAGTCACCCCCCCCCCCAGTCCCACTGGGGCATCATGTGACACAAGCTCGGTCATTTATTGTGTATATGCCCATTGAACCCGTATAAACGGGCTCTGGGCCGGTTTACCTCCGAGAACGAGACTCCGCCCTTCGGCGTAGCCTCGTTCGGGTGCCTCTCTGCCCGAAGGTAGAGAGTTCAACCGAACAGTCGCTCAGGAAGTGAGCGACTGACTTACTTCCTGGTTACTCTTACTACTCCTACTTTTAATAGGTGGGAGAGTTTATTAACTATAGAATAGGTGTGTTCCACCATAACAAAACCATTAGTTCTACTACATTTACTTGATTTAAAAACTAATATAGTCTATTAGTAATGAAGACGAAAAATATTTTAAAATTGTAGCTAAATATAAGGTATTCTAATCCAAACATCCCTTTTAGAAAGAATCTGTAAGTATACAATTGCGAAAAAAATGCCGAAAAATATTTGTCGTACAAAAAACAAAAAAAAAACAGATGACATGCTACCCTCTATTTCGAACGTAACTCATAATTAATACAACAATAGAAAATAAGAATGAACACGCTAACAACCCCTGTATGAATGATTGGAATTCTCTGTATCCTTGGAAACAGGAAATTATGAATTTATATGTTCGTTTAAATCTCCGTAAAAATTTAAATATAAGTTATTCCAAAATTCGCTTGAAGATGAAACAGAACTGATGCTATAATTCTATTATATTATATTTATTATATAAGTTAAGCTTTAAGCTTCATTAATTGAAACATGGTTATTACAGTGTAGCGAAGAAACCATATTTTAAATCAGTTTATTTATAATATATATATATATATATATATATATATATATATATATTATTATATATATATATATATATATATATATATATATATATATATATATATATACAATTATTATTATTAAGAAAGACAGCTTTAAGGGTACATGATTATAATTTATTTCCTTAGGAACGAGATTTCGAACCTAATTCATAATTAATTATTAATTTCCATAAATAAATGCGTCACAAATTTTTCCAAGCATAAATGTGTAAATATCCCAAGAACATCAACTCTTTCATACTTGATAACCGAACAGAACATTTTAAGACTGAGCGATTACTTCAAAGACATTCCTACCCTTTGATAACACTCATACATATATATATACACACATGCCTATGTACACATAAACTCATTCTTGCAAGGATTACTACGAACATTTTGACGACCTTGTATCAACCAAAATACATTCATTTTATTTGTAAAGACCTTAATTGATTTATATGTATATAAATTTGTTGTTTCACTTTACAATATGATTTTCTTCTTTTATACCCCTTTTATGGTGGGCTATCTAACTAATAAGGCTAAATCAAATTAATCTGTTTCAACACTCATACACTTCACTATAATTGATAACCCACTATAAATTCCTGTTCTTTTCTTTTTTCAACACATGAATATTTTTTCTCTTTCTCAGCCTCTTTCATGCTCAGTAAACCTATCTGTCTTAGTGGCTTTATTGCCTTGTTTGGAGTGAAAAAAATAACAAGTTCATCAATAAATAAATCAGAATAAAAAGTGAAGAGGAATTATCTAAAACCTAATTTACAAATCCAAAGAATTAAATTAAAATTCTTGGGTTACGCTGCTTAACGGGAATCGCATTTTGTATCGCCAATGGAAATTTCGCTGAAATAAAATCCATTTTCCTGATGGCACCGACTTACTGACAAAAGTTATGAAAATAGACGTTTTGAAGATTTCCTTATATATTCAGGATATAAACAACCTTTTTTAATTAATGATAATAGTGAATTTTTATGGATAAATATACTGAATCTTTTTCGTTTTCTAATAGATTCTGACGATTATGAATATTATTTTCAGTTGCAGTTTCAGTTAAAATTATGTTCATCAATTGTTTTCTCTATTAATTAAAGGAGCATTTTTTTCCTTTTTGTCCATGTTTCCATCATTTTCCTTATTAAATATTCCACATTGTGATAACAGAAGATCTGTCAAAAAAGGTGAAATGTTGTAAGAAATTGAACGTAAATTTACTGTGGATGATCTAGCAATTAAAGCACTTTCTATACAATTTATTTTCGTCAATTGCTTTCTCTTTTAATTGGAGTAAGGATTTTTCAATTTGAAAAATACTACTCTAATACTCTAACATTATTCTTAATAGATAAAAATTTATTCTCCATTTTTGTTGTATATATGTATGGACGGATGCAGGTAGGCACTCATCCACGTAGCTACTTAGTCTCATCATCAATTTATTTAAGTCTATATTCAACAAGAAAGCTGTTGATATCCTCAACAGGAAATACATGCCATGCGACAAACAGTATGTCTTTCACACTTCCAGGTCCATAGCTGATGTTCTAACTGACATTATATACGGATTCTAGGACTAGATTAATGTTATTCAACCTTTTTTATTTATCGGTAAAATTGGACATATCGTTAATTTCCGTGGCACACTTAAATCCTGTTGATCAGATAAAGCATAACCTTTTATGATTTATTTGTTAATGCAAACAAATCAAGTTATTATAATCTGTAATGGAAAGATAATAATTAAAATTGTCAACAAAACGTATCATTATTTGTTTTTCTATTTCTTACAAGTGCTCATTTAATGAGATATCAGAACTTGAAGATTTTTGTAATATTTTCAACGCAACGTCAAATTTTAGACGGACATGCATTTCAATCTTCTTATGAGGTCACTAATATTGGATATTAGTCGCATTTGGTGTGATGCTTTTGCTATATATTTAGAGATTCTGCATAAAATACAAAGAAGAATATGCAATGTTATTGTTCCTGACCTGGCAACTCGGTTTCAATCACTTTCAAAAAGCTATAATATATAATATATATTTTGATGTTAATCGTTCTGGTGAGCCGTGAAAGGCTTATCAGAATAATTGTTACATGACTCCCTTAAATTTAAGTACCAGATTGACATCAATGTTAAATTTACAGTTGAAATGGCAAAATATAATCGTAACTTCCATACAAACAGTTCTTTTTATCACACTTTCCGCTAATAGTATTCTCTTCCAGACTTTTTCTTTCGATGTTATAAATGCGAATCATTCATTACCTTCTATATTCTTAAGTTTACTTCGTTTATTTGTTTGGGTTAATTTATTTATTTTTCATTTTTATTTTGTATTATTTATTCTTTTCAATTTTTTGCTGTTTTATTCACGTAGTAAAAAAATACTTTCCGGAATGAAGCACTCTACACAAAATATTCAATAAAAACACTGTAAAAATCAGCTATAGTTGCACCCAGAAAATGGCACGAATAATAAAAAAAACACGATACGAAAACTATCAACAAACCACTCGAACAAATTAAACCCACGTGTAACTGTAGAATAAGGAATGAATGTCTCTTAAACGGTTATTGTTTACAAAACAATGTAATATACCAAGCTACGGTAAAATCACCAGATAATTTAGAAAAAGTATACATAGGAGTAACTGAAGGATCCCTGGAAACAAAGAAAGTATGCATACAAAACATCTTTTATAAATAGTAAATACGCGAACAGAACAATGGTTTCCAAGTACATCTGAGAAATTAAAAATAAATCACAAATCACACCAAAATTATCATGGAAAATAAGGAAAAGATCGTCAGCCTACAACAATCAATCAAAAACCTGCAAACTTTGCTTGGAGGAAAAATAGCAATTATTACCTTTCCAGACCAAAATAAATAAACGATCTGAGCTCATCTCAAAATGCAGACACGAAAACAAATTTTTACTACGTTATTTAAAAATCGAAAACTGAAATGAATAAATACAAATAAGCAAAATAAAGTAAAATAAATTAACGCAAACAAAGAATGAACAAATTAACAAAACACTCCCGTTAGAATAGACGAAATGGAATAAATAAAAATAAAAAATAATAATAAACCCAAATAAATAAAGTAAAAAATAATAAACAAATTAACAAACCAATCCCGCCAAAATACCCGTTAGAATAGACTGCAACAACCAATCCAAAGATTGGATGTAAAAATAGCTCTAACTAATATAACGATTTTAAAAAATTACGTTACTCAAAAATCGAAAACCAAATAGAGTAAATAAAAATATACAAAATAAAAAATAAGTAAAAAAATAAAAACAAATATAAAATCTATCCAAATAAATAAATACATGAACAAATTAAAAAATAGACCCCGCTAAAACAACCGTTAGAATTGATAAAAATAAGCATAAATACGCAAAAACAAGGAAAAATAACAAATCCAAATAAATAAATGAATTAAAAACTTCCCGCCAAAATAGCAGAATAGGCTACGGTAAGCAATCTAAACATTGAACGAATAAATAGTCTGAATTATTTCCCCAGACCAATACTAACTATTAAATAAGCGACCTAAGCAAACCACTCCAATTTTTTACTGTGTTAATAAAAACATCTAAAACCGAAAAGAATAAATAATACAAAATGAAAATGAACAATAAATAAATTAACCCAAACAAATAAATAAACAAACCAGCCACTCACGCAAAAATAACAGCCAGAATAGATTACCCACAATTCACCACTGACCCATATATAAATAGTCGAGCAAAAATCTAACATTCGCGGGCCGACGATTGCGTCTAGCATGAAACAGCCTGTCGCCTCTGAGTGTTGACTTCAATGTTAACTTTTATATTTATATTTAGATACGGTCTATCCCTGATATTGAGCACTTTATCCCATAAATACAGGACAGCTTAAAACTATATTATATATATATATATAAAGAAATAATATATATATATATATATATATATATATATATATATATATATATATATATATATATAGGTAAGTTTTAATTGATGCTAACAAAGAATTTTCTAAGGATAAATAAAATTCTTTCTTATTTTTTGACAGTTGCTGTAACAGAAAAAAATATTAGAATCCCTGGTAAGTCGAATTTTTATTTCTTATCGGCAAGGTAAATTTCGTTGAAATAAAATCTATTTTTCTGATGATATCAACACATTGGCCAAAACATGTCGAAATAGATGTTTTAAAGATTTCCTTATATATTTGCTATGTACAAACGTTTTCAATTAATGCTAATAGTGAATTGTTATAGGCAAAGAAATTGAATCTTTCTTCGTCTTTTTTAACGGGTGCTGATGAAATTGAAAAGAATTTTAGAAAGCATTGTAAGTCGAATGTTTTTTCCCATTGTCACTGTTTTTCTCCATTCTAAACGTTATTTTGAAACTAAAAAAAAAACAAAATGGTTTACAACATATATTCTCTAAGACTTTCTTTTTATGGCCACAATGTTTTTCATACAAGTTTGAAGCCGACTATATTAAAATTACATGAAATCTAGACAGCGAATTTATAATGAAACAAAAATTGGATGATATGTTATAAATCATTGATACGATTTATAGACTAGCTGGTTTCATTTTTTTGCTCATCTCTCCATCACATTTTTATTGATTATCCCACATTGTGATGAGAGAAGATCTGCCAAAAAAGACTAAATGTAAGAAACTACACGTAAACTTACTCTGGATGATCTAGCAATTGAAGCACTTTCTATACATTTTATCTTGGTCAACTGCTTTCAGTTTCCTTAGAGTAAGATTTTTTTTATTTCGAAAATACTACTCTAATGCCCTAACATTGTCCTTGATATAGAAAAATGTATACTTCATTTTTACCGTATATATGGATGGACGCAGGTCAGTGCTCATCCCCGGTGTAATAAGATCCCATTAAGCTACTGACTCTCATTATCAATATATGTTCAACAAGAAAGCTGCTTATAGCCTCAACAGGAAAAACAGGCTGCGCGACAAACAGTATGCATTTCACTCTTCTAAGTCCATTGCTGATGTTCTAACTGACATTATATACAGATACGCTATGTCATATCTTTAAGGGACAGGCATTTAAATCTTCTTCCAAGGTCACTAATACTGGATATTCCTGTCGCATTTGGCGCGCTGCTGCTGATATATATATTTAGAGATTCTTTTGATATTAATATTTCTGATGTGCTGGTATAAGGATAATCGTTAAATGACTTCACAAATTTAAGCAGAGTACAAGATTGACATCAAAGTCTCATCATTTTACAGTTGAAATATCATGATGTAATCGTCACTTCTATACTAACAGTTCATTTTCTTGCCCTTATCGCATATGGTATTCTCTTCTGAATTCTTGCTTTCCATCTCATATAATGTAAATCATAATTAAGTCAAGTTCTTTTCTTGTTTTCTCTTAATAATAAAGCTCTTCTTTCTTATCCTCATTCAGACTCAGTAAACCAATGTGTTGTAACAGATTTATTGCCTTGTTTGGAGCGGATGATTAAAAAAACAAATGTATCAATAAATAAATCAGATTAAAAAATGGAGGGAAATTAGCTAAAATCGAAATTCCAAAGCAGAACAGTTAAAGTAAAAATCCCGGCCTCATCTGTTTAACGAGAATCATATTTTTTTATTGCCAGTGAAAATTTCGTTGAAATAAAATCTATTTTTCTAATGACACCGTCTCATTGGCAAAACATTTTGCAATAGTCATTTTAAAGTTCTGATTAATGAGATGTCAGAGCTTCAGGTGCTTTTTTTTAATATATTCAACACACAAGTTCAGATTTTAGAGTGGTATGCATAAATTTTCTTCCAAGGATTCTAACACTGGATATTGCTGCCGCATATGTTCTTGTGCTTCTGTGATTTAGTTAAAGATTCTTGATAAAATCCAATGAAGAATCTGCAATGCTATCGTTCCTAACCTGGCAACTCTGTTTCAATCACTTTCACAAAACTCTACTGTAGCCTCTATTTTTCTTTCTGTTAATTGTTCTAATAGATCGAGAAAAGCTTTTCAGAATAATTCTAACATAACTTCACAATTTTAAGCAGAATATTAGATTGTTATCTAAGTTTCATCATTTTACAGTAGAAATGTGTTACATTGGAATAAAGTGTCGCTGCCGACACTTGAGTTTGAACATAGATCGCCAGTGAGTAAACACAGGCGATCCCATTATTGAATGAAGTGGAACACGTGACCATAGAGGAAACGCATATATAGGAAGCCACGTGACGTCCAGATTGATCGTTATTCTTCTATTGCTATATGGGCCGCTATTCTGTATTCTGTACTCTGTACACTATATTATTTCATTATACGGGTTACTATTCGCGCTAGTATTATCGATCAAGTACTATTAGTGCGAGTGTTACTCGAAGACGTCTGACACCAGTATTGTCCAACGGCGTACTATAGTTGTATCTGCGATTATAAAATCTCTACTACAACGAGCATTACCAAAGTGACAACGAGTAATCGTTGGCACCACCATAGTTGCAACGAGTGTTCGTTGACATCACAAAAAATGGCAAAATTTAATCGTAAGTTCCATAAAAACAGTTCATTTTATCGCACATATAGTATTCCCTTCAAAGATCTTTCTTTAGATATTATATAATGTGAATCATTATCTTCTGTATTCATATCTTTAATTTGTTTAATATTTTTCTCTTTTTCTAATCCTCTTTCACACTGAGTAAACCAATGTGTCTTAGTGGCTTTATTGCCTTCTTTGAGGCGAAACGATTGAAAAAACAACTTAGTCTATAAATAAATCATAATAAAAAGTGAAGTGAAATTAGCTAAAAGGTAATTTCCCCCAAATAATTTAAATAGATATCCCGGGTTCAATTGCTTAACTTGAATCAAATTTTGTATCGCTAATGTAAATTTCGTTGAAATAAAAACTATTATTCTGATGACACAAACTCAGTGGCAATAAACATTTAAAAGATTTGCTGATATCTATCTATCTATCTATCTATATATATATATATATATATATATATATATATATATATATATATAGATAGATAGATAGATAGATAGATAGATATGGATATATATCATCTTTTTAATTTATGCCAACAAGTAATTTGTTTGGGCGAAATGATTAAAATACAAGTGAAACTATAAATAATTCAGAATAAGAAGTGAAATGAAATCGTCTAAAATCTAATTTCCCAAAACAAAACAATTAAAATAAAAATCCCGAGTCCAGCTGCTTATCGGAAATCACATTTTGTATCGTCAATGGAAATTTCGCTGAAATAAAATCCATTTTTATGACATCCATTCATATGCAAAACATACAGACCTTTTACAGATTTTATATATATATATATATATATATATATATATATATATATATATATATTAGTGAACATTGAAGTCAACACTGAGAGGCGACAGGCTGTTTTATCCTAGACACAAAGTCACACGGCCAGACAATTGCGTCTAGAATGAAACAGCCAGTCGCCTCTGGAGTCTTGACTTCAATGTTCACTATATTTATATTTACATACGCTCTATCTCTGATATTGAGTACATTATCCCATAAATAGGCCGCACCTAAAACTATATTTCTAAATAATATATATATATATATATATATATATATATATATATATATATATATATATGAACGTTTTAGTTTAATCTGACAAGGAATTGTCTAAGGACAAGGAAATTGAATATTTCTTCTTTTTTAACATGGGATCTACCAGACAACACTGATAAATTTAATGGTCACAGACTCATTGATAAAACATGTCGCAATATATGAATTTCCGCATTTGCTTATATACATACATATATATATATGTGTGTGTGTGTGTGTAAACGTTTTAATTGGTACTAACAAAGAATTATATAATGTTAAAGAATTGAATCTTTCTTCTTTTTGTAACAGCTCCTAAAGCAAAAGCTCCTGGAAGTGATGGTAAGTCTAATGTCTTATTCTTACTGTCAATCTCAATTTCTCTCCATTCTAATAATCAACTTGAAAACAATAACAATGTTACCAAAATGAACTTTACCATAAATTCTAAGACTTCCTTATCATGACCATAATTTCCGAGGATTCTAACATTGGATATTCCTGTCGCATCTGGGATGGTGCATTTTGCTATGTATTTAAAGATTCTTGATAAAATCCATGAAGAATCTGCTATGTTATCGTTCCTGACCTGTCACCACTTTCACAAAGTAATAATTTCTATAAATATTTTGATCTTAAATGTTCTCGTGAGCCGAGGAAAGCCCATCAGAATAATTGTTAGATGAATTCACAAATTTAATCACTGTACCAGATTGACATCTAAGTCTCATCATTTTCCAGATGAAATGCCATGATGTAATTGTAACTTCTATACAAACAGTTCATTTTATCGCAATTTCCGCATATGGTATTCTCTTCCAGACTCTTTCTTTCGATGTTATATAATGGGAATTATTATCTTTGGTACTCTTAAGTCTAATTTGTTTCTTGTTTCCTCTCATTAATAATTTTTTTTTCTTTTTCTCATCCTCTTCCATACTCAGTAAACCAATGCTTCTTAGTGACTTTATTGCCTTGTTTGTGGTGAAATGATTAAAAAACAAGTGAATTCATAAAAAAAAATCAGAATAAAAAGGGAAGGGAAATTAACTAAAAATAAATTTCCAAAACGAAATAGTTAAAATAAAAATCCCAGGTTCAGTTGATTAACGGCAATCACATTTTGTATCGCCAATGGAAATTTCGTTGAACTAAAATCCATTTTTCTGATGAAACCGAATCATTGGCAAAATATGTTGCAACTTACGTTTTACAGATTTGCTTATATATATATATATATATATATATATATGTGTGTGTGTGTGTGTGTGTGTGTGTGTGTGTGTAAATGTTTTTAATTCATGCTAACAAGGAATTGTATACGGATAAAGAAATTGAATCAAAGACGCACTAACAAAAAAAATATAAACTCTGGTAAGTGGAATGATTTTACGGTAGATTTTGTACAACTTTTTATTATTTACCGTGTGTGTGTATGTATATATGTATGCATGCAGATGAGCGCTCATTTCCGTTGCAACATGAACCCATTAGTCTCCTCAGTTTTATCATCCTCTTCCATACTCAGTAAACCAATGTGTCCTAGGGGCTTTATTGCCTTGTTTGTGGCGAAATGATTTAAAAAAAAAACAAGTGAATTCATAATAATAAAAATCAGATTAAAAAGTGAAGGGAAATTAACTCAAAATAGATTTCTAAAACGAAATAGTTAAAATAAAAATCCCGGGTTCAATTGATTAAGGGCAATCACATACATTTCACTCCGCTAGTTCCACTGCTGATGTTTTGACATTACTTACACATTATGTAAGTACTAGACTAATGTACATGGCTTCATAAATTTAAGCAGAGTACTAAATTGACATCTAAGTTTCATCATTTATCAGCTGAAATGCCACAATGCAATCGTTATATAATAACAGATATTTTTTTTATCGCGGTTTTCTAATATGGTATTCATTACTGAACTCTTTCCTTCGATGTTATACAAAGTAAATCATTTTATTCTTTATTCTTAAGTCCTGTTCTTCTCTTGCTTCCTCTCATTAATAATGATTTTTTTTCTATTTCACACCCAGTAAGCCAATGTTTTAGCGATTTATTGCCTTCTTAGGGGCAATGTGTCTTAGTGGCTTTATTGCCTTGTTTGTGGCGAAATGATTAAAAAACAAGTGAATCCAAAATAAAACAGTTAAAGTTAAAATCCACGGTTCATCTGCCTATCGTGTTTTTTTTATCGCCAGTGTAAATTTCGTTGAACATTTTGCTTATACATGTATATATATATATATATATATATATATATATATATATATATATAAGTAAACATTTTTAAATGCTGCTAGTAAAACATAGTCTAAGTATAAAAAATGAATCTTTCTTCTTATAGTAGCTGGATTTAACAGGAGAATTGAAGACATAATGGGTAAGTTGAATGTTTTATCCACACTTGTCATTAGCATTTTTCTCCATTCCAACAGTAACTTTGAAAACCGAAATAATGTGACCGAAATGGACTTCGCCATTGATTCTACTTTAAGGCATCCTTATGATGGCTACACATAGGTTTTCGGCCCACCATATTAAAATTGGATATAATCCGGACATTAAATTCCTACTGAAACATAAACATGATGATATATGATAAATGATTCGAAACAAATATATTGTGTAGCCTATTACATTTTTTTCTTCATGTATTCATCACATTTGTTAATATTACACGACATTATGATAAAAGACAATCTGCCAAGAAAGATGGAATGTTGTACGGAACTGGGTATAAATTTACTTTCGATTGCATAAATTTTTATATTTGTCAATTGCTTTCTCTTTTAATTAGAGTAAGATGTTTTTTACTTCCAAAAATGCTACTCTACTTCCCTAAAATTTTTCTTGATATATAAAAATTTCTTTGTCATTTTCCCGTATCTATGTATGTATCTATGCAGGCGAACGCTCATCTCCGTTGCAATATGAACCCATTAGTTCTCTTTGACGTAGCAAAGTCTTTGAGTCTATGATTAACAAGAAAGCTGTTGATCGCCTTAACAGCAAAAACATCCTGTGCGACAAACAGTATGCATTTCACTCTGTTACGTCCATTGCTGATGTTCTAGCTGATATTATTTTTACAACTTTTCTCATCTAACGGTAAATTTGGACCTATAGTTAAACTTAATTATTATGATGTACAAAAGGAATATACTTTTTATCATTTATTTATTAACACAAACCAATTTATTATAAATTGTAGTAAAAAGATGATAATTAAAATTTTCAGCAAAACTAATAATTATTTTTTTACCTGTTTACTATAATGTAACATTTAATGAGATATCTGAACTTAGCATTTTTCTAGAATAACTTCTTTGGTGGGTCGAATTTTAGAGGCATACGCTTAAATCTTCTTCAAGAATTCTAATATTGACTATTCCTGCCACATCTGGTGTGAATTGCTTCTGCTATGTATTTAGAGATTCTTAATACAATCCAAAGAACAATCTGCTATGTTATCTTTCCTGACCTGGCAACTCTGTTTCAACCACTTTCACAAAATTATAACATAGTTTCTTTGTTATATAGGATAAAGTTTCGCTGTTGACACTGGAGTTTGAACACAGATCACCAGATGACAAACACAGGCGACCCTATTTTGAATAAGTAGATCACGTGATGGTAAAGGAAATGTATATATTAGTAATTAGCGTGGTATCTAAGTGATCATTCTCCGAATTACTTCAGAGGTGTTCTTGTCAAACTCTCTACCTCCGGGCAGAGAGGAACCCAGATGTGGCTATGCCAAAGGGCAGAGTCTCGTTTGGGGTGGTAGACAGCTACCCGACCCCGTTTTTTACGGGGTCTACGGGGAATTTTTGTCCAAGCTTACGGGCTCGGATACCCCACAATAAACATCGGCCTTATGCCACATCCGACCGTGTGGTGTGGTAGGTGAATATCATCACTCTCCAAATTACTTCGGAAGGGTGCTTGTCTACCACCGGGCAGAGAGGAACCCTGACTAGCCTATGCCGAAGTGCAGATTCTCGTCTGCTGTGGTAGACAGCTACCCAACCCCTTTTGTTTACAGTGTCTACAGGGAATTTTTTACCGACCCTACAGGCTGGATGACCCCTCTATAAACTCGGCCTTGTGCCCCATCCGACCGGGTGAGGTGGTTAGTGAATATCTCACTCTCTGGATTACTTCGGAAGTGTGCTGGAAAAACTCCGAGCAGAGAGGATCCCCAGACGTGGCTATGTTGAAGGGCAGAGTCTCCTCTCGGGAGACAGCTACCAGACCCCGTTTGTTACGGAGTCTACGAGGAACTTTTGACAGAGCCTACGGGCTCGGATTCCCAACAATAAACTCGGCCTTATGCCACATCCGATTAGTGAATATCTCACTATACGGATTACTATTCGGATCACTATTTGGTAGTTACTATTCGAGAGAGTATTATTGAGCAAGTACTATTAGTGTGAGTGCTATTTGAAGGCGTTTGACACCAGTATTGTTCAACGGCGTTACTGTAGTTGTATCTGCGATTACAAAGTCTCTACTACATCGAGCATTACGAAAGTGACAACTAGTATTCGTTGATATTATAAAAATGGCAACAAGTGTTCATTGACATCCCAAAACTCTTTTATAAATATTTGGATGTTAATTGATCTGAAGAAACATGGAAAGCTCCTCAGATTAATTAGTTCAGGACTTCATAAATATAAACACAGCACTAGATTCGCACCTTATCTCTCATCATTTAAATGACAAAATGTTTTCATAAGTTCTACACATTGAGTTCTTTTCCTCGCACTCTTCTCATATGGTATTCTATTTCGGACTCTTTCTTTCGCTGTTATATAAGATAAATCATCATCTTCTGCATTCTTAATTCCTGTTCTTTTCTTGTTTACTATTATTGATAATTTTTCTCTTTTTCTCATCCTCTTTCATACTCAGTAAACCAATGTGCCATGGTGGCTTTAATGAATTGATTGGATCGAATTTGAAATCAATGGAATCTATAAATAAATCAGAAAAAAAGTGAAGTGAAATTATCTAAAATCTAATTTAAAAAACAATACAACTAAAGTAACAAAAAAAAAAAAATACCCTGCACAGCCATTTAACGATAAACACATTTTGTATTGCCAATGTAAATTTCGTTGAAATAAAATCTAATTTTTATGACACAAACACATTGGCTAGACAGGTCGTAAAAGACATTTTACAGATTTTCTTATATATTTACGATATATAGATGTTTTTAATTGTTGCTAACAGGGATTTTTTATGGATAAAGAAATTAAATCTTTCTTTCTTTTTATTAGAGGGTTTTCCAGACTATAATTTTAGAAAACCCAACAAATTTGGTAAGTCGAATGTTTTATTCAAAAAGTCAATTTCTTTTTTTCTTTACAATAGAAACACTAACTACATATAATAAAAACTATATATGTATATAGTAAGAGTAACTTTGAAAACAACTGCAATGTAACCAAAATTCTTTTCTACGATTTTTTTCATGGTCACCATGTGGTATTCATATGTTGGGGGGGGGCTCCATATTAAAATTAGATAAAATCTACACAGTAAATTTATACTGAAACATAAACATGGTATTACCCGATTTGAACCCTAGTAAGAACCCTACTTTATTCAAATTGTCACTCTCTCTTTCTCTACACCCAAACTGTTACTTTGAAAAAAGCAACATAGTGACCAAAATTGTTTTCGCCATAGATTCCACTCTAAGATTCCACTCTTATTACGCTTACAATATTTTACGCACAAGTTTGGGGACCACTCTATTAAAACATAGACATGATGATCTGTAATAAATGATTGATACGAAATATCATTCCGGCAGTTTCATTTTTTTTTTTTTTTTTATGCCGCCATCACATTTCTGCCAAGACATGTAAAACGTTGCAAGAAACTAGATATAAATTTGCTATGGATGATATCACAATTAAAGTATTTTCTATACAACCAATTGCTTTCTCTTTTAATTAGAGTAATATTTTTAATTTAAGAAAAATACTCTAATTCCCTAACATTGTTCTTGATATATAAACATTTATATATCATTTTGACGTATATATGATCGATGGATATAGGTAAGCACTCATCCACTTTGAATAGGCTCCTATTGGACTACTTACTCTTATCAGGAAACTTGTCTATAATCAGTAAAAAAAACCGTTGATCACCTCAACCAAAAAATCACCCTTCTTGACAAAATTTTATGCATATAAAAATTGAATTTTCTTCTTTTTTATACAGATGTTGTAACAACACCAAAAGTTGGTAAGTCGAATTCTTTATTGCCACTGTCAATCTCTCTTTCTCTCCAGTCTCACAGTAACTGTGAAAATAACAAAAATCCAGCCAAAATGCTTTTCACCAAGATTTCCTTATCATAGTAAGAGTGTAGTACCCATGTTTTGGGCCCACCATATTAAAATTAGATGCAATCAGGACAGTAAATTTATACTGAAACATAAACATAATGATATTTGATAAATTATTGAGACGAAATATAATTTAATTTGACTAAGAATTTTTAAATTTAAAAAATGCTACACTAATTCCCTAAAATTGTTTATAATATATAAAAATTTGTCATTTTTCCGTATGCATGTATATATGCAGGTGAACGCTCACCCCCGTTGCATTATGAACCCATTAACCTCCTTAGTGTTATCAGCAAATTCTTGAGTCTATGATCAGCAAAAAGGTTGCTGATCTCCTCCACAGCAAAAACATACGCGACAAACAGTATTCATTTCATTCTCCTAGATCCAAAACTGATGTTCTGTTTAAATGTTTAAATGTCTGCGTACCCATTCTGAAGATGGCTCATGGGAGTCGAAAGCTTAGATGAAGGAACAGATTAACAAGAAAAATATCCAAATGTTGGACAATGTCTTTATTTTCTCCCGAAATTAAAACAAATATACGGATTATACAACGGCTCATGATCGAACATAATAGACATTCATTGTCTGTTATATTTAACAACATATGTTTGAATATATATATATATATATATATATATATATATATATATGCGCATGATAACGTCTACATATACTTCAACCCTACCTTCAAGTTAATTTATTGTTATGATTTTTTCTAGCGTCGTTAATTGACGAATGGACTCTAACCAGTTTCCAAAAATTTGAATACTGGGACTTATACTAAGTTAAAATATTATATATATTATTTCACACTCTTTATTCATAATCCTTCCCTATGATCCATGTTTTCCTTCGAAGCCTGAATCTTTTTTTTTACCTCTTACTCTTGAATGGATAAGTTACCCTTAGCGGGCTCTCACCCTTGTAACCACCTTCTGTACTAATTCAAATGGGGGTAGGGGTTGCACATGCATCCCTGAGCAAACCTCGTTACCCCACATCTCTCGTTGAGTCCCTTAGTTCTCAAGTAAATGAACAAAGCTTGTCTCGGTGTCTTTAGGTCTCGGACCGCTACGATGTTTCTGAAACACTGCAGTTCTATTTGCCTTGATTCTGGGCAGACGAGACATGTCCACTCGGAGCATCACGCATGTATTTTCTTTCCTGGTTTGATTGTCTCTTCATTAAGGTTAGCAGAAATAGACGTTTTCCGGGATTGGGAATTATTCGCCTAATAGACAGCGATCGAAACCTTGAGTAACTCCGAAGGGGGCTATCCTATTAGCAGGTGTATAATATCGGGACTACTATTCTGACATTTTTGTGAATGATTTCTGGGTCGTGCAGAAGTCTCCGGTGGGGCCTCTCGATGCTATGATGAAGGGTACTGCTATGGCTATAACTCCAGATGACTCTCTCCAGGTTATCTATACATGCGACAAATGAACAAAACTATCACTCCAACCAACAAAAAAACAAAGTAGACCCCTCGTATACTATCCCTACCCCAACATGAGGAGTCTGTTTCAAATTTCTCGAAGTGGAGCATCATCTTCTACAGTCTAAAGCAGACGTCCTGTTATTTTATAATACCGCTATCAACGCCCCATACGCACTAGGGGAGTTCACAGTCCCGGGTTAATCACCTCTCACAGCCAAACATGATCACGGCCACAGATACGGAGCTTACATCTAGGATGAGTTTCCCTGTGGCGAGGACGCAAAAAAACGATGAACCTGATCTCCCGTATATATACTTCCATGTGGCACTTATCCCTAGTACCACATTCGTCTTTGTTCTCTACCGTTCTCAGGACAAAGGGACGGTAATCTTTGACAGAATATCTGAGAAAATTGACAATATGACCACTCAATTCCCCTAGGCCAGCTTTCATATCTACGGTGACTTCAATATCCACCATAAAGAGTGGCTAGTCCGCTCCAACAAAACCGATGTTGAAGGCAGATATTGCAGAGACTTCTCCATTGCCTGTGAACGAACCCAGATCATTGGAGAAGCTAGCAGGGTCCCGCACACAACATCGGGACATCAAGCGAACCTCTTCGACCTCTTCCTAACCACCTGCCCCGACAAATGCCTATCGAAAGGCACGCCCGACAATTCCCTAATCAGTGTACAGATTGATACCAGACAAGGTATCCCCCGATGTACCCTTCCATAGAACGATTTTACGCTATGCAAAGGCAGACTGAAACAGCCTACATGATGGAAACATCCCTTCCAACCTTCTTCAAACATGGTCCCTCAAAAACTGCTGCCCTTGTCACTGATTGGATCCTTTCTGGAATAGAGAGTTTTATCATTCCCCCACCCACCAGAAAAAATACCAGCGAAAACCAAACAGTCAACCCTGGTTCGACGCTGAATACGCTGCAGCCATAACCCTGCTACTTCAATATTTATCGCAAGGAAAGTAGTTGGGTTTTTTGGGGGGAGAGGAGAAAGTTAAGGCAATTCATCCCAAGCAAGGCGGGTGTGACACGAGCACACAAGAGGTTACAGAGGATTGAGAACAAAAGTCAAGAGGCGAATCTGAGGAAAGAATACAGAGAAGGACGCGGAAACAAGCTCAAGGTGCCAGATGTCGATTGACATTACACTTGAATATTTGATTATAGTCATCAGGAAACCAAGTAAGAAGAAGGGGATTCCACAGACGGGAGGTGTGGGAGAAGAATTTAACCATTTTGACAGTGAAAGGATAGGACAGAGATGCCAGCCTGGTAGCTCGCTTAAATTCATGCATTACGGGAACCAGCGAAAGTTGCTGGTCGGAACAGTTGCCATAAAAATACTTGTAGAAGAGACAGAGAAGGCCACGGCACGTCTGTGGAATAGTGATTGTAGGCTAGATGCCATATCAGGACTTATCATCTTGCATATTCATCTCTGGATTTTATCGAGGACCTCGTGACGTACAGCGGGGGCATCAGACAATATATGAAAGCAATATTCCATGCAAGGACGGATGGTTGATTTATAGATTTGAGGGATGGACTCGGACGGGAAAAACCTTCTGGCACGTCACAGAGAACCAACTTTCCTTGCGGTAGATGAAGCAATTGATTCAATGTACTTGTTCCACCTCATGTCAGTGGACAGCGTGAGACCAAGCAAGCGTAACGAGGTTTCATTTTTTATTATTAAATATCCCACATTTTCATAATTCACGATCTGTCAAGAAAGGTGAAATGTTTTAAGGAACTGGACGTAAATTTACTGTGGCTGATCTAGCGATTAAAATACATTCAATGCATTTTTATCTTAGGCAATTGCTTTCTATTTTAATTTGAGTAAGGTGTTCTTTAATTAAGAATGCTATTCTAATTCCCTAAAATTGGTCTTGATATATAAAAATTTATCTGTCATATGTATGTATGTATGCATGCATACAGGTGTGCGTTCATCCCTGTTGCTTATATAAACCCATTAGCCTATTTAGGTTTAGCAGTAAACTCTTTGAGTGTATGATCAACAAGTAGGCTGTTAATGGCCACAACACGAAAAACATCCTGCTCGACAAAGAGTATAGGTTTAATTCTGTCAGGTCCACAGCTGATGTCCAAACTGACATTACATGAAGATTCAATGAGGCACTGGACCACTTTTTTCAATATTTTTTTTATCTCATGATACACTTGGACTTACAGTTAAACTGCTGCTTAAATTATGCTGTTCAAAAAACAGTATACATTTTATGATTTAATTATTAACACAAATAGTGCAATTTATTATAAGTTGTAATGAAAAGATCATAATTAATGTTCTTAAAAATATATAATTATTTATTTCTCTGTTTATTAAAATTTAACATTTAATGAGATATTCTTGGAATATGTATTTTTGAAGGACGAATTTTGGAGAGGCATACATATATGTTTTTCCAAAGATTGATGACATGGAATAATGCTACTGCATCTGGTCTGAATCTTCTGTTACGTATATAGTGTTTCTTGATAAAATTCAAAGAAGAATCTGCATTGTTATCATTTCAGTCTTGACATCTCTGCTTCACTCAGTTTCTGACTAGTTATAACATAGCCATTCTATAAATATATTTTGAAGCTAAATGTTCTGATGGGCCGAGAAAAGCACATCAGAAAAATTGTTACATGACTTCACAAGTTTAAGCACAAATTGGCATCTAAGTTTCATCATTTTACAGCTGAAATGGCACAATGTAGTCGTAAGTTCTACACAAACTGTTCCTTTTATCGCAATTTTTCAAATATGGTATTCTATTCCTGGCTCTTGGTTTTGATGTTATATAATGTAAATCCTTATCTTCTGTATACTTAATTCCTGTTCTTTTTTTTTTTTTGTTTCCTATCATTAATAATGCTTTTTTTTCTCTCATCCCCTTTCATAGTGAGTAAGCCAATGTACCTTAGCGGCTTTATTCCCTTCTTTGGGCGAAATGATTAAAATACAAGTGAAACTATAAATAATTCAGAATAAGAAGTGAAATGAAATCGTCTAAAATCTAATTTCCCAAAACAAAACAATTAAAATAAAAATCCCGAGTCCAGCTGCTTATCGGAAATCACATTTTGTATCGTCAATGGAAATTTCGCTGAAATAAAATCCATTTTTTATGACATCCATTCATATGCAAAACATACAGACCTTTTACAGATTTGCTTATATATATATATATATATATATATATATATATATATATATATATATATATATATATATAATTATTTATGTAAAAATATGATTCCAAATCACGACATCAGAAGTCCCATGTTTCAAAAACAAGAGCCGAAAACTTCAATATAATTATTTAAATCTAGTTTGCATGTCTATGGAGATTTATTTTTTTTTTATTTTATTTTTTTATGAAAGGGATTTGTGCATATAAAAAAAAATTTGTGCATAAAAACAATAAATAAATACATAAATCTCCATAGATATGCAAACTAGACGAGGGTTAATACATCTTCCGTTTCAAATTTAGACACCCCCACCTTACCCTGACTTGACATCTACGAAAGTAACTCTATACTGATACTTATTATTAACACCCAGCACCCGCCTACCCAACTTAAACAATTCGCCCTAGCTGTTACCATGGAAATTTTGATTTCAATTTTTAAAACACGTAAATTTCAGAAACACGTTATTTTAAAAAAAAATTCGCTTGAAGATGGAACAGAGCTTATTTTAACTCAATTTAATTTAAATAATTATATTGAAGTTTTCGGCTCTTGTTTTGAAACATGGGACTTCTTATGTCGCGATTTGGAATCATATTTTTAAATAAATAATTATATTTATGCTCTACTTTTGTATCGAGCACTATTTTTAAAAAATAATAACTAAAATACTAAGGGACTTTGGATTATTTACCTAACCAGTTCCTTCCTATTTTCTATATATTTTCACATATTATATATATATATATCAGTGAACATTAAAGTCAACACTGAGAGGCAACAGGCCGTTTCATTCTAGACATAAAGTCACGCGGCCAGACGATTGCGTCTAGCATGAAACAGCCTGTCGCCTCTGAGTCTTGACTTCAATGTTCACTTTTATATTTATATTTACATACGCTCTATCTCTGATATTGAGCACTTTATCCCTCAAATATGCCACACCTAAAACTATATTTCTTTATATATATATATATATATATATATATAAAAAAATATGTTGTAATCAGTTCAACGAGAGAAAAGTATGTATATTAAAAAGAAGGGGTGCCGCAAACGTTTTTTGGTTGTAATGTGGATTTATTGAGAAAAATATTATACTTTGTTTTACATAATTTCACGACACGTGTTTCTGGTCTGGTCTCGCAACCGTCTTCAGGTGAAAGTGGAGATTTTTACATATTATTAAAAATAATTTTTCTTCATGTTCAATGTGGAATATTCTAGAAAGAAAATTCGGATTGCCAACACACAAACAGAATGTCTCATATCGAGAATATTCCACATTGAAATGAAGAAAAAATTATTTTTAATAATATGTAAAACCTCCACTTTCACCTGGAAGACGGTTGGTGAGACCAACAGAAACACGTGTCGTAAAATTATGTAAAACAAAGTATAATATTTTTCTCAATAAATCCACATTACAAAACAAAAATGTTTGCGGCACCTCTTCTTTTTTATATATATATATATATATATATATATATATATATGAACGTTTTAGTTTAAGCTGACAAGGAATTGTCTAAGGACAAAGAAATTGAATATTTCTTCTTTTTTAACATGGGATCTACCAGACAACACTGATAAATTTAATGGTCACAGACTCATTGATAAAACATGTCGCAATATATGAATTTCCGCATTTGCTTATATACATACATACATATATACGTGTGTGTGTGTGTGTGTGTGTGTGTGTGTGTGTGTGTGTGTGTGTGTGTGTGTGTGTGTGTGTGTGTGTGTGTGTGTGTGTGTGTGTGTGTGTAAACGTTTTAATTGGTACTAACAAAGAATTATATGATGTTAAAGAATTGAATCTTTCTTCTTTTTGTAACAGCTTCTAAAGCAAAAGCTCCTGGAAGTGATGGTAAGTCTAATGTCTTATTCTTACTGTCAATCTCAATTTCTCTCCATTCTAATAATCAACTTGAAAACAATAACAATGTTACCAAAATGAACTTTACCATAAATTCTAAGACTTCCTTATCATGGCCATAATTTCCGAGGATTCTAACATTGGATATTCCTGTCGCATCTGGGATGGTGCATTTTGCTATGTATTTAAAGATTCTTGATAAAATCCATGAAGAATCTGCTATGTTATCGTTCCTGACCTGTCACCACTTTCACAAAGTAATAATTTCTATAAATATTTTGATCTTAAATGTTCTCGTGAGCCGAGGAAAGCCCATCAGAATAATTGTTAGATGACTTCACAAATTTAATCACTGTACCAGATTGACATCTAAGTCTCATCATTTTCCAGATGAAATGCCATGATGTAATTGTAACTTCTATACAAACAGCTCATTTTATCGCAATTTCCGCATATGGTATTCTCTTCCAGACTCTTTCTTTCGATGTTATATAATGGGAATTATTATCTTTGGTACTCTTAAGTCCAATTTGTTTCTTGTTTCCTCTCATTAATAATTTTTTTTCTTTTTCTCATCCTCTTCCATACTCAGTAAACCAATGCTTCTTAGTGACTTTATTGCCTTGTTTGCGGTGAAATGATTAAAAAACAAGTGAATTCATAAAAAAAAAAATCAGAATAAAAAGTGAAGGGAAATTAACTAAAAATAAATTTCCAAGACGAAATAGTTAAAATAAAAATCCCAGGTTCAGTTGATTAACGGCAATCACATTTTGTATCGCCAATGGAAATTTCGTTGAACTAAAATCCATTTTTCTGATGAAACCGAATCATTGGCAAAATATATTTGCAACTTACGTTTTACAGATTTGCTTATATATATATATATATATATATATATATATATATATATATATATATATATATATATATATATATATGGGTGTGCGTGCGTGTGTGTGTGTGTGTGTGTGTGTGTGTGTGTGTGTGTGTGTGTGTGTGTGTGTGTAAATGTTTTTAATTCATGCTAACAAGGAATTGTATACGGATAAAGAAATTGAATCAAAGACGCACTAACAAAAAAAATATAAACTCTGGTAAGTGGAATGATTTTACGGTAGATTTTGTACAACTTTTTATTATTTACCGTGTGTGTGTATGTATATATGTATGCATGCAGATGAGCGCTCATTCCCGTTGCAACATGAACCCATTAGTCTCCTCAGTTTTATCAGCAAACTCTTTGACTAGAAGTCTCTTAATTGCGTCAGTGGGAAAAACATCGGGCGCGACAAAGAGTATATATTTCACTCAGTTAGTTCCACAGCTGATGTTTTGACATTACTTACACATTATGTAAGTACTAGACTAATGTACATGGCTTCATAAATTTAAGCGGAGTACTAAATTGACATCAAAGTTTCATCATTTATCAGCTGAAATGCCAGAACGCAATCGTTATATAGTAACAGATTTTTATCGCGGTTTTCTCATATGGTATTCATTACTGAACTCTTTCCTTCGATGTTATGTAATGTAAATCATTTTATTCTTTATTCTTAAGTCCTATTCTTTTCTTGCTTCCTCTCATTAATAATGATTTTTTTTTCTTTTTCACACCCCGTAAGCCAATGTTTTAGCGATTTATTGCCTTCTTAGGGGCAATGTGTCTTAGTGGCTTTATTGCCTTGTTTGTGGCGAAATGATTAAAAAACAAGTGAATCTATAAATAAATCATAATAAAAACTGAAGTGAAATTAGCTAAAATCAAATTTCCAAAATAAAACAGTTAAAGTTAAAATCCCCGGTTCATCTGCCTATCGTGTATTACATTTTTATCGCCAGTGTAAATGTCGTTGAACTAAAATCCATTTTTCTAATGAGACCGATCCATTGGCAAAACATTTTGCTGATTTGCTTATACATACATACATACATACATACATATAAGTAAACATTTTTAAATGCTGCTAGTAAAACATAGTCTAAGTATAAAAAATGAATCTTTCTTCTTCTTATAGTAGCTGGATTTAACAGGAGAATTGAAGACATAATGGGTAAGTTGAATGTTTTATCCACACTTGTCATTAGCATTTTTCTCCATTCCAACAGTAACTTTGAAAACCGAAATAATGTGACCGAAATGGACTTCGCCATTGATTCTACTTTAAGGCATCCTTATGATGGCTACACATAGGTTTTCGGCCCACCATATTAAAATTGGATATAATCCGGACATTAAGTTCCTACTGAAACATAAACATGATGATATATGATAAATGATTCAAAACGAATATATTGTCTAGCCTATTTCATTTTTCTTCTTCATGTATTCATCACATTTGTTAATATTACACGACATTATGATAAAAGACAATCTGCCAAGAAAGATGAATTATTGTACGGAATTGGGTATAAATTTACTTTCGATTGCATACATTTTTATATTAGTCAATTGCTTTCTCCTTTAATTAGAGTAAGATGTTTTTTACTTGCAAAAATGCTACTCTACTTCCCTAAAATTTTTCTTGATATATAAAAATTTATTTCTTATTTTCCTGTATGTATGTATGTATGTATGTATCTATGTATGTATGTATGCATGCGAACGCTCATCTCCGTTGCAATATGAACCCATTAGTTCTCTTTGACTTAGCAAAGTCTTTGAGTCTATGATTAACAAGAAAGCTGTTGATCGTCTTAACAGCAAAAACATCCTGTGCGACAAACAGTATGAATTTTTGACCGAGCCTACAGGCTCGAATACCCCACAATACACTAGGCCTTGTGCCGCATCCGACCGCGTGGGGCGGTACGTGAATATCATCACTCTCCGAATTACTTCAGAAGTGTGCTTGTCAAACTCTCTACCTCCGGGCAGAGAGGAACCCTGACTAGCCTATGCCGAAGTGCAGATTCTCGTCTGCTGTGGTAGACAGCTACCCAACCCCTTTTGTTTACAGTGTCTACAGGGAATTTTTTACCGACCCTACAGGCTGGATGACCCCTCTATAAACTCGGCCTTGTGCCCCATCCGACCGGGTGAGGTGGTTAGTGAATATCTCACTCTCTGGATTACTTCGGAAGTGTGCTGGAAAAACTCTCTAACTCCGAGCAGAGAGGATCCCCAGACGTGGCTATGTTGAAGGGCAGAGTCTCCTCTCGGGAGACAGCTACCGGACCCCGTTTGTTACGGAGTCTACGAGGAATTTTTGACAGAGCCTACGGGCTCGGATTCCCAACAATAAACTCGGCCTTATGCCACATCCGGTTAGTGAATATCTCACTATACGGATTACTATTCGGATCACTATTTGGTAGTTACTATTCGAGAGAGTATTATTGAGCAAATACTATTAGTGTGAGTGCTATTTGAAGGCGTTTGACACCAGTATTGTTCAACGGCGTTACTGTAGTTGTATCTGCGATTACAAAGTCTCTACTACATCGAGCATTACGAAAGTGACAACTAGTATTCGTTGATATTATAAAAATGGCAACAAGTGTTCATTGACATCCCAAAACTCTTTTATAAATATTTGGATGTTAATTGATCTGAAGAAACATGGAAAGCTCCTCAGATTAATTAGTTCAGGACTTCATAAATATAAACACAGCACTAGATTCGCACCTTATCTCTCATCATTTAAATGACAAAATGTTTTCATAAGTTCTACACATTGAGTTCATTTCTCGCACTCTTCATATGGTATTCTATTCCGGACTCTTTCTTTCGCTGTTATATAAGATAAATCATCATCTTCTGCATTCTTAATTCCTGTTCTTTTCTTGTTTACTATGATTGATAATTTTCTCTTTTTCTCATCCTCTTTCATACTCAGTAAACCAATGTGCCATGGTGGCTTTAATGAATTGATTGGATCGAATTTGAAATCAAGTGAATCTATAAATAAATCAGAAAAAAAAGTGAAGTGAAATTATCTAAAATCTAATTTCAAAAACAATACAACTAAAGTAACAAAAAAAAAAACCAAAAAAAAACCTGCACAGCCATTTAATGATAAACACATTTTGTATTGCCAATGTAAATTTTGTTGAAATAAAATCTAATTTTTTATGACACAAACACATTGGCTAGACAGGTTGTAAAAGACATTTTACAGATTTTCTTATATATTTACGATATATAGATGTTTTTAAATTCATGCTGATAGGGATTTTTTATGGATAAAGAAATTAAATCTTTCTTTCTTTTTATTAGAGGGTTTTCCAGACTATAATTTTAGAAAACCCAACAAATTTGGTAAGTCGAATGTTTTATTCAAAAAGTCAATTTCTTTTTTTCTTTACAATAGAAACACTAACTACATATAATAAAAACTATATATCTATATAGTAACAGTAACTTTGAAAACAACTGCAATGTAACCAAAATCCTCTTCTACGATTTTTTTTTCATGGTCACAATCTGGTATTCATATGTTGGGGGGGGGGCTTCATATTAAAATTAGATAAAATCTACACAGTAAATTTATACTGAAACATAAACATGATATTACCCTGTTGAGAGCAAAATGATTAAGATCACATATTGTATCGTTGATATAAATTTCGTTGAAATAAAATCCTTTTTTTAATGACATCCATTCATTGACAAAACGTCGCAATAGACGATTTACATGTTGCTGATATATTTACGAAATGTACAGACGTTTTTAACTGGTGCCAATAGGGCACTTTTATGGTCAAAGGAAATTAATCTTTCTTCATTTTCTTTTACAGGTACTGTAACAGAACCAGTCGATTTGAACGTCAGTAAGTCGAATACTTTATTCACATTGTCACTCTCTCTTTCTCTACACTCAAACTGTTACTTTGAAAACAGCAACATAGTGACCAAAATTGTTTTCGCCATAGATTCCACTCTAAGACGTCCTTATTACGCTCACAATATTTTATGCGCAAGTTTGGGAACAAGATTTCCTTATGGTAAAAGTGTAGTACCCATGTTTTGGGCCCACCATATTAAAATTAGATGCAATCAGGACAGTACATTTATACTGAAACATAAACATAATGATATTTGATAAATTATTGAAACGAAATATAATTTAATTTGACTAAGAATTTTTAAATTTAAAAAATGCTACACTAATTCCCTAAAATTGTTTATAATATATAAAAAATTGTCATTTTTCCGTATGCATGTATATATGCAGGTGAACGCTCACCCCCGTTGCATTATGAACCCATTAACCTCCTTAGTCTTATCAGTAAATTCTTGAGTCTATGATCAGCAAAAAGGTTCTTGATCTCCTCCACAGCAAAAATCTACGCGACAAACATTATTCATTTCATTCTCCTAGATCCAAAACTGATGTTCTGTTTAAATGTTTAAATGTCTGTGTACCCATTCTGAAGATGGCTCATGGGAGTCGAAAGCTTAGATGAAGGAACAGATTAACAAGAAAAATATCCAAATGTTGGACAATGTCTTTATTTTCTCCCGAAATTAAAACAAATATACGGAGTTTACAACGGCTCATGATCAAACATAATAGACATTCAGTCTGTTATATTTAACAACATATGTTTGAATATATATATATATATATATATATATATATATATATATATATCTGTACTAATTCAAATGGGGGTAGGGGTTGCACATGCATCCCTGAGCAAACCTCGTTACCCCACAGAAATAGACGTTTTCGGGATTGGGAATTATTCGCCTAATAGACAGCGATCGAAACCTTGAGTAACTCCGAAGGGGGCTATCCTATTAGCAGGTGTATAATATCGGGACTACTGTTCTGACATTTTTGTGAATGATTTCTGGGTCGTGCAGTAGTCTCTGGTGGGGCCTCTCGATGCTATGATGAAGGATACTGCTATGGCTATAACTCCAGATGACTCTCTCTAGGTTATCTATACATGCGACAAATGAACAAAACTATCACCCCAACCAACAAAAAACAAAGTAGACCCCTCGTATACTATCCCTGATCTCCCGTATATGTGCTTCCACGTGGCACTTATCCCTAGTACCACATTCGTCTTTGCTCTCTACTGTCCTCAGGACAAAGAGACGGTAATCTTTGACAGAATATCTGAGAAAATTGACAATATGACCACTCAATTCCCCTAGGCCAGCTTTCATATCTGCGGTGACTTCAATATCCACCATAAAGAGTGGCTAGTCCGCTCCAACAAAACCGATGTTGAAGGCAGATATTGCAGAGACTTCTCCATTGCCTGTGAACTGACCCAGATCATCGGAGAACCTAGCAAGGTCCCGCACACAACATCGGGACATCAAGCGAACCTCTTCGACCTCTTCCTAACCACCTGCCCCGACAAATGCCTATCGAAAGGCACGTCCGACAATTCCCTAATCAGTGTACCGATTGATACCAGACAAGGTATCCCCCGATGTACCCTTCCATAGAACGATTTTACGCTATGCAAAGGCAGACTGGGACAGCCTACATGATGGAAGCACCCCTCCCAACCTTCTTCAAACACGGTCCCTCAAAAACTGCTGCCCTTGTCACTGATTGGATCCTTTCTGGAATAGAGAGTTTTATCATTCCCCCACCCACCAGAAAAAATACCAGCGAAAACCAAACAGTCAACCCTGTTTCGACGCTGAATACGCTACAGCCATAACTCTGCTACTTCAATATTTATCGCAAGGAAAGTAGTTGGGGTTTTTTTTTTAGGTGGGGATAAGGCAATTCATCCCAAGCAAGGCGGGCGTGACTCTAGCACACAAGAGGTTACAGAGGATTGAGAACAAAAGTCAAGAGGCGAGTCTGAGGAAAGAATACAGAGAAGGACGGGGAAACAAGCTCAAGGTGCCAGATGTCGATTGACATTACGCTTGAATATTTGATTATAGTCATCAGGAAACCAAGTAAGAAGAAGGGGATTCCACAGACGGAAGGTGTGGGAGAAGAATCTGTTTCAGTAGAAGAGATGGTTACATTTAACCATTTTGACAGTAAAAGGATAGGACCGAGATGCCAGCCTGGTAGCTCGCTTAAATTCATGCATTACGGGAACCAGCGAAAGTTGCTGGTCGGAACAGTTGCCATAAAAATACTTGTAGAAGAGACAGAGAAGGCCACGGCACGTCTGTGGAATAGTGATTGTAGGCTAGATGCCATATCAGGACTTATCATCTTGCATATTCATCTCTGGATTTTATCGAGGACCTCGAGACGTACAGCGGGGGCATCAGACCATATATGAAAGCAATATTCCATGCAAGGACGGATGGTTGATTTATAGATTTGAGGGATGGACTCGGACGGGAAAAACCTTCTGGCACGTCACAGAGAACCAACTTTCCTTGCGGTAGATGAAGCTATTGATTCAATGTATTTGTTCCACCACATGTCAGTGGATAGCGTGAGACCAAGCAAGCGTAACGAGGTGCTCTCAAGGAGTTGGGAGTTTTCTTTGTGGTTGGTTGAGCAGAGCAGTTTCGTCCACAGTGCATTCAGAACCTCCCACAATCGCTGCAAAAATGTTCTAGAAAACGCAACGTGCAACTAGACACTAGCAGTCCAAGCTAAGGTTGAAAAGAAACAAATTAGATCCAGTGAGTTCTGGAAGATCACCAACCAAATCACGAAGGGAGGTAAAGCGGCCGTGCCCAAATTTATAAATAGCCCCGAGGTCATATCTTCCTCGACAGATAAGTCAAATTTCGCCACCATCTTTGCATCTCCAAGGACCCGCGTCACACTGAGCACAATCTCAGTAATACAAACGTCACAGCACGCGAGCTCTCTAGATTTATCAAAGTTCTTGATCCTAAGAAAGCCACTGGTCCTGACGAAATTCCGGTGGTTGTCATTAAGAAATTATGCCCAATCCTAGCAAAGTAATTCAACCGAAGTTTAAAGAAGAAATCCTACTCCTAATTCTGTAGGAATTGGCAAGCGCATGTCCGGTTTTCAAGAACGTCGGTGTGCGACCTTCCCCCTCTCAGTATAGACCTACCAGTCTCCTCAGTATCATCAGCAATCTCTTTGAGACAATAACTGCAATCACTCACAGAATCAATGGAGCTCTTGGCGACGAACACACCTCAAGGATCATACCACAAAGAAATATGTCAAGGTGTGCTCACAATGGCTTACTACACAAGCTCTCCAGTTATGGAATCACTGAAAGGGTTTTCTCCATTATATGATTCTTCCAATTAAAATCCTCTTGAAGATAGTTATCAATGACGAGTCCTCCGAAGCACTAGGGGGTCAACGCAGGCCTTCCCAAGGGGACACACTTCGGACCAACCCTCTTTTTTCATCTACATAAATTATCTGGCTAAGAATATATTCAGATCATTTGCAAACATCTTTGCCGATGATACAAAATTATAAATATGGCCGTATATCTAAAACTCTCGATAGTCAGGGATTGTTGACTGAACTGATCTTGCACAAATTACTCAATGGGGTAAAAACTGGCTGGTTGCCTTCAATGCCTTGAAGACAAAAATATTTACATTCCGTTATCACTGATCTGACGCCGAACGTTCACCAATCTGAATGAACGGAGGTCCGTTCCAGCAAGCATGGCGCTTTAAAAGACTGTTAAGCCTCAAAATAACACCCGACCCCAAGTAGAATTCGTACATGCGGTCCATTTGCTAAGGATACAGGTAAAAATAGTCGGCTCCCTGCACTGCTTAAGTAAGGGGCTGATTCCAACGGCTATCGTCTAACTTTACAAGAGCCAGGTCATGGGGTACTGTTGTAATATTTGGGCGGTGGCTGCCCAGACCTGACTCTCATGTCTTAATAAAGTTCAAAGGCGTCTTCAATCCTCTGTGCGTGGCGAAGTATTCTCATCCACTTTCAATCACTATCACACATGCGGGATTTGGTCATCCTTTCGGTGGCCGACCGCAATTTCCACGGAGAGTTCTCGGACGGAGTACATAGCCTGGCGCCTCCGAGTCCAACCTTCACAGTAAGAACACCCCAATGCCACTTACACAGTAGCAAACCACTCCCGTTCCCTCGGCATTACATCGGTGAGAAGTAAGTTCCACTCGGACAGCTTCTTCCCGCCAACAACTGGTCTATGGAAGGGAATCCCCGATCTCTACAATCTTAACCCGTTCAAGGCTAAGGTTAACGGTTGTCTTACACTCCTATACACACAAATGGCATTCCAAACGTAGACCTCTACCGCGTGTGGCCCCCACGATTAGGAAAGAATCAACCTAGCTGTAAAAAAAAAAAAAAAAAAACAGCTTATCGTGAATTATATTTTTTTATCGCCAATTTCCGTTGAAATAAAATCCATTTTTCTGATGACACCGACTCACTGGCAAAATATATCGGAATAGACTTTTTACCGATTTGCTTAGACATATATATTTATCAAATTTTAGTTCATGCTGACAAGGTTTTGTCTAAGGATAAATTAATTGAATCTTTCCTTTTTTTTTTAACAGATAACGAGCCTGAGAAAACGGAATTTGGTGAGCCGAATTTTTTATTCTCATTCTTAATCTCTCTTTTTCTAACTTTGGCTAGTGTAACTTTCACAAAAAAAAAACAGCTATTCGACCATATTAAGTTAGATGAAATCAGGACAGTAAATATATATTGAAACACATACATAATGATATGTGATAAATGATTGAATCGAAATATAGTCTCGGCTGTTTCTTTTTTTTGTCCATGTTTTCGTAAGATTTCTTATGAAATATACCACATTATGATAGAAAGCTGAAATGTAAGAAACTCGACATAAATTTCCCTTGGATGATCTCGCGATTTAAATAGTATCAATATATTTTTATCTTAGTTGTTCTCTCTTTTAATTAGACTAAGCCTTTTTTAATTTAAAAAATGCTACACTAATTCCCTAAAATTGTTCTTGGTATATAAAAATTTGCCATTTTTCCGTATGTATGAATGTATGTATGTATGCAGATGAACGCTCATCCCAGTTACAACATGAACCCATTAGCCACCTTAGTCCAGCAAAATCTTTGTGTCAATGATTAACAAGAAGGTTGTTGATCGCCTGCCCGGTAAAAACATGCTACGCGACAAACAGTATGCACTTCACTCTACTAGGTCCACTGCTGATGTTCGAATTGACATTACTTACAGAATTAGTGAGGTACTAAGTGTATGATTTCAACCTACTTTAACTAACGGTAAACATGGACCTAGAGTTAAACTTCCGCTTAAATTATGATGTTTATAAAAAGTATATTTTATATGATTTATTAAACCAAAAATCAATTTATTATAACTTTTAATGAAAAGATAGAAATTAAAATCCTCAGCCAAACGTATAATTACTTGTTTGTTTATTATAATATAACATGTAATGAGTTATCTGAGTTTGGGGTTCTTGGAGAATATCTACTTTTCATGTTCGAGTTTCGAAATGGTATACACTTACATCTTCTTCTAAGGATTCTAACATTGGATATTGCTAACGCATCTCGTTTCGTGCGTCTCTCATATATAGAGAGATTTTTGATAAAATCCAAAGAAGAATTTGCAATGTTATCGTTCCTGAGCTGGCATCTTTGTTTCAGTCACTTTCCCAATAGCTATAATGTCGGCACTTCTATAAATATATGGATGAGAAATGTTCTTCAGGGCTGAGGAAAACCCCCTCCCCCCCTAATTAATTGTTTAGGGAATTTACAAATTGAAGCACAGTACTTAAATTGGCAGCCAGGTCTAATTATTTAAAAGTGCAGACGTCAAAATGTAATCGTAAATCCTTCACTAACAGTTCTTTTTCTAGCATTTTTCGAATATGGTATTCTATTCTAGACTCGTTCTTTCCATCTTATATAATGTGAATTATTATCTTCTATATTCTTAATTCCTGCTTTTTCTTCTTTCCTCACATTAATATTTTTTTTCTTTTTGTCATCCTCTTTCATACTCAGTAAACCAATATGTTTTAGTGGCTTTATTGCCTTGTTCGGTAAAAACGTGATTAAAAACAAGGGAATCAATGAATAAATTAGAATAAAAGTGAATGAAATTACCTAAAATCTAATGTCCAAAACAATACAGACAAACTGAAATATTCCGGGTTCAGCTGTTAATATTTGTCACAGTAGGTATATATATATATATATATATATATATATATATATAAGAAAAAAACTGTAAGATATATAATCCGGTGACCTTATTGATATTTTTTGTTTTTATTTTTACAAAACAGTGATCAATGTCAATTTACAGAGCATAAATATTATAACTTAACTGATTTAAAATATTGTTTCTTCGCTACACAGTAATAACCATGTTTCAAAAACAGAAGTTCCAACTTCAAATTTAACTATATAATTGAATTAAAAACCATTAGTTCTATTGCATTTACTAGATTTAAAAAGAAATATAGTCTATTAGTAATGTAGAGTAAAAACTTTTAAAATTGTAGTTAAATATAACGTATTCTAATCCAAACACCCCTTTTAGAAAGAATCTTTAAGTATACAAGTACGAAAAAAATGTCGAAAAAATTTTCGACGTTAAAAAAAACTAATAAAACAGACAACATGCGTTTAACGAATGTCAGAATTCATTGAAAAATACACCCCGACTCTCCCTAAACTTAACGTCTTTTTCGAACGTAACTCATAATTCATACAACAATAGGAAATAAAAATGAACGCGTTACCGCCCGTCTGAATGATTGGATTTCTCTGGAAACAGGACATTATGAATTTATATGTTCGTTTAAATCTCCGTAAATTTAAATATAATTTATTCCAAAATTCGCTTGAAGATGAAACAGAACTGATGATATAATTTTATTATATAATTAAATTTGAAGAATTTTTAGGTTCAGGTTTTGAAACATGGTTATTACTCTGTAAAGCGAAGTACCATATTTTCAATCAGTTAATTTTATAATATATATATATATATATATATATATATATATATATATATATATATATATATATATATATATATATATATATATAATTATAATTAAGAAAGACAAATTTAAGGGTACATGATTATAATTTAATCCTTAGGACAGACATTTCGATCCTATTTCATAATTGAAGAGTAAGCGTTCACTACAATAATTAATTATTAATTTCCATAAATAAACGTGTCACAAATTTTTCCAGTCATAAATGTGTAAATATCCCAAGAACATCACCTCGGATTCCAAACGTAAACCTCTACCGCGTTTGGCCCCCGGGATTTGGAAAGTATCAACCTCGCTATAAAAAAACAACTGGACTATGGAAGGAAATCCCCGATCTATGCAATCTTAACCTGTTTTATGCTAAGGTTAACCGTTATCTTCCACTCCTATAAACACACATGGCATTCCAAACGTAAACATCTACCGCGTGTAGCCCCCGGGATTTGGAAAGTATCAACCTCACTGTAAAAAAAAAAAACAACAAAAAAAGCTGCCTATCGTGAATTATATTTTTTCATTGAAATAAAATCTATTTTTCTGATGACACCAACTCATTGGCAAAATATATCGCAATAGACTTCTACCGATTTGCTTAGACATATTTATTTTTCAAATTTTAGTCCATGCTGACAAGGTTTTGTCTATAGATAAAGTAAATGAATCTTTCTTTTTTTTTTTTTTAACAGATACTGAGCCTGACGAACCGTACGTTGGTAAGCCGAATTTTTTATTCTCACTGTCAATCTCTCTTTTTCTAACAGTAACTTTCTAAAAAACATCAATTCGACCAAAATAGTCTCCGCTAAGATTTCCTTATCATCGTAAGAGTTTTGTTCCCATATGTTTTGGACACACAATATTAAAATTAGATGAAATCAGGAAAGTAAATTTATATTGAAACACAAACATAATGATATATGATAAATGATAGAAACGAAATATAATATCGGCTGTTTCATATTTTTGTCCATGTTTCCGTAAGATTTGTTATGAAATATACCACATTATAATAGAAAGCTGAAATGTAAGAAACTCGACATAAATTTCCCGTGGATAATCTCGTGATTAAAATAGTATCTATATATTTTTATTTTAGTTGTTCTCTCTTTTAATTAGACTAAGCCTTTTTTAATTTAAAAAATGCTACGCTAATTCCCTAAAATTGTTCTTGGTATATAAAAACATGGTTATTACTGTGTAACGAAGAAAACATATTTTAAATCAGTTAATTTATTATATTATATATATATATATATATATATATATATATATATATATATATAAATTAACTGATTTTGAGTTATGTATGTTACAATTCATGGCTGATTTTCAGGTAGGGGGAAAATTAAAAACAAAAAAAATAAAGATTTGCATTCCTCAAAGCCTTGTGCTTTTAACTATTGTAATCACTAAACCTGATGCGATTGCATTTCTAGCGTTTTCATAAAATTAGTTATGAGGGGTAGTAAATATAAAAAAAAAAATTTCTGCCATGACTTTAAGAAAAAAAACATATTTATAATAATTTCCACCACCTGTGAATAGTTTCATTAACATCCGACATGCGGGATGTGGTCATCCATTCGGTGGCCGACCGCAATTTCCACGTAGAGTTCTTGGACGGAGTACATAGCCTGGCGCCTCCGAGTCCAACCTTCACAGTAAGAACACGCCATCCACTTACACAGTAGCAAACTATTCCCATTCCATCGGCATTACATCGGTGAGAAGTAAGTTCTATTCGGACAGCTTCTTCCCGCCAACAACTGGTCTATGGAAGGGAATCCCCGATCTCTACAATCTTAACCTGTTCAAGGATAAGTTTAACCGTTATCTTCCACTCTTATACACACAAATGGCATCCCAAACTTAAGCCTCTACCGCGTGTGACCACTGGGATTTACAAAGGATCAACATCGCTGTAAAAAAAAAATAAGAAAAAAAAACTGCTTATCGTAAATTACATTTTTTTTTATCGCTAATGAAACTTTCGTTGAAATAAAATCCATTATTCTGATGACACCGACTCGTTGGCAAAACATGTTGCAATAGAACTTTTACAGTTCTGCTTATATATATATATATATATATATATATATATATATATATATATATATATATATATATTCACGGCGCGCTAAGATTTTATAGTAACTCTACAATCTAACCGCGCATCGTGAATTAGACATTAAGGACATCGGGCTATACAGGGATGACGGGCTCATGGTAGTGAGGGGCTCCACAAATTTTAAAATAGATAAAATTAGAAAGATATTACATAGTGAATTTAGAAAACTAAACTTAAGAACTGCAGTCAATACTAAATTAAAAAGAGTAAACTTCCTCGACGTAACTCTAGACTTAATGAACAACATATACCTACCTTACAGAAAATCTAACACTAATCCCTTGTATGTACACCCTAAGTCAAACCACCCTCCATGTATAATTAAGCGTATACCCACGTCAATAGAGAAAAGAATCAGCATGAACTCCGCTAATAAGGAAATATTCCAACAACACAGTAATTTTTATAACACCACCCTAAAAAATAGCGGATACAAAAACGCTAACACAAATTATAGAAACAATAGTACTAACCAGAAGAAAACCACGGAAAGGAAAATCATTTGGTATACTCCTCTGTTCAACCAAATGGTTAGTATTAAGCTAGGACATAAGTTCCTAGATGTCATTGAAAAACACTTTCCTACTAATAGCACACTTAGCAAGATTTAATTGAAGCTATAAAGGAATTTGCTAATGATAAAGAAACTGAATCTTCCTTCTGTTTATTAACAGATCGTCCACCAGTAACAACCAAAGTAAACCCTGGTAAGTCGAATTTTGATTTTTCATTGGCAATGATAAATTTGGTGAAATTAAATATATTTTTCTGATGACACAAACATAGTGGAAAAACATGTCGCAATAGACACTTTAAAGATTTGCTGATATATATATATATGTGTGTGTGTGTGTGTGTGCGCGCGCGCGTTTATGTGTGAGTGTGTTTGGGTGTTTGTGTACGTTTTTAATTGATGCTAAAAAGAAATTTTCCAAGCATAAAGAAAATTGAATCTTTCTTCTTTTTTTAAACAGAAATATAGTTTTACGGGCGTATTTAGATTTAAATATAAAAGTGAATATTGAAGTCAGCACTCAGAGGCGACAGGCTTTTTGATGCTAGGCGCAATCGGATGTTGGATTTTTCCTCAACTATTTATATATATGGTTCAGTGGTGCATTGTGGGTAATCTATTCTTGCGGTTATTTTTGCGGGAGTGGCTTGTTTGTTTATTTATTTGTTTCGGTTAATTTATTTATTTTTCATTTTTATTTTGTATTATTTATTCGTTTCGATTTTTTGCTGTTTTATTCACGTAGTAAAAAAATACTTTCCGGAATCAAGCACTCTACACAAAATATTCAATAAAAACACTGTAAAAATCAGCTATAGTTCCACCGAGAACATGGCACAACTAATAAAAAAGCACGACACGAAAACTATCAACAAATCACCCGAACAAATTAAACCCACGTGTAACTGTAGAATAAAGAATGAATGTCTCTTAAACGGTTATTGTTTACAAAACAATGTAATATACCAAGCTACGGTAAAATCACCAGATAATTTAGAAAAAGTATACATAGGTGTAACTGAAGGACCCTTGGAAACAAAGAAACTATGCACACAAAACATCTTTCATAAATAGCAAATACGCGAACAGAACAATGCTTTCCAAGTATATCTGGGAAATTAAAAATAAAACGCGAATCACACCAAAATTATCATGGAAAATAAGGAAAAGATCATCAGCCTACAAAAACCTACAAATTTTGCTTGGAGGAAAAATAGCTATTATTACCTTTCCAGACCAAAATAAATTACTAAATAAACGATCTGAGCTCATCTCGAAGACAAATTTTTACTACGTTACTTTAAAATCGAAAACTGAAATGAATAAATACAAATAAACAAAATAATATAAAAAACAAGTAAAATAAATTAACCCAAACAAATAATAAACAAATTAACAAAACACTCCCGTTATAATAGACTAAATAAAATAAATAAATAAAAATAAATAATAATCAACCCAAATAAATAAAGCAAATAATAATAAACAAATTAACAAACCAATCCTGCCAAAATAACCGTTAGAATAGACTACAACAACCAATCCAAAGATTGGATGTATAATAGCTATAACTACTATATAAAGACTTTAAAAAAAATTTGTTACTCAAAAAACGAAAACCAAATAGAGTAAATAAAAATATACAAAATAAAAAATAAGTAAATAAATAAAAACAAATAAAAATCAATCCAAATAAATAAATACATAAACAAATTAACAAATCGACCCCGCTAAAATAACCGTTAGAAATAATAAAAATAAGCATAAATACGCAAAAACAAGTAAAAATAACAAATCCAAATAAATAAATAAATTAAAAACTGTCTCCCCGCCAAAATAGCAGAATAGGCTACGGTAAGTAATCTAAACACTGAACGAATAAATAGTCTTAATTATCTTCCCAGACCAAGACTAACTATTACATAAGCGACCTAAGCAAACCACCCCAATTTTTTTACTATGTTAATAAAACATCTAAAAGCGAAAAGAATAAATAATACAAAATGAAAATGAAAAATAAATAAATTAACCCAAACAAATAAATAAACAAACAAGCCACTCCCGCAAAAATAACCACCAGAATAGATTACTCACAATGCACCACAGACCCATATATAAATAATCGAGGAAAAATCCATATTCGTAGCCCGAATTTTGAGTCTAGCATGAAACAGCCTGTCGCCTCTGAGTGCTGACTTCAATGTTAACTTTTATATTTATATTTAGATACGCTCTATCTCTGATATTGGGCACTTTATCCCATAAATACAGCACACCTTAAAACTATATTTTATATATATATATATATAAAGAAATCTATTTTTTCTAATGCCAGCGACTTATTGGTAAAACATGTCGTAACAGACTTTTAAAGATTTACTGACATTGCTGATGTATACATACATATATATATATATATATATATATATATATATATATATATGTGTGTGTGTGTGTGTGTGTGTGTGTGTGTGTGTGTGTGTGTGTGTGTGTGTGTGTGTGTGTGTGTGTAGGCAAGTTTAATTAATGCTAACAAAGAATCTTCTAAGGATCCACAAAATTGATTGATTCATTTTTTTTTTTTTTTTGACAGTTGCTGTAACAAAAAAAAATATTAGAATCCCCGGTAAGTCGAATTTTTATTTCTTATCGGCAAGGTAAATTTCGTTGAAATAAAATCCATTTTTCTGATTACATCAACACATTGGCCAAAACATGTCGAAATAGATGTTTTAAAGATTTCCTTATATATTTGCTATATGCAAACGTTTTCAATTAATTCTAATAGTGAATTGTTTTGGTTAAAGGAATTGAATTTTTCTTCGTCTTTTTTAACAGGTGTTGATGAAATTGAAAAGAAGTCGAATGTTTTTTCACATTGTCACTGTTTTTCTCCATTAACATATCTCAACAAAACGTATCATTATTTGTTTTTCTGTTTCTCTAAAAGTGCTCATTTAATGAGATATCAGAGCTTCAGGTGTTTTTTGTTTTTTTTTTTTAAATATATTCAACACACAAGTTCAGATTTTAGAGTGGTATGCATAAATTTTCTTCAAAGGATTCTAACACTAGATATTGCTGCCGCATATGTTCTGGTGCTTCTGTGATTTAGTTAAAGATTCTTGAT